GAGGAGCTGGGCCAGGACAGGAGGCTGGCAGACCGCACCTGGGCCTGGACAGACCGGCCTGAGGAAGTTCGGGGCAGGGAGAGGCCGCCAAAAGGCAAAGGCTTGCCCCCTAAAGGCCGCTCCCCGTGACGAATGACGGGGGCCTAGTGAGGCCACTGGGAGGCAGGAGCGGGGCCTGGCGCAACTGCCCAAAGGCATGAGGAGCTCTGTCCTGGGGAGGCCTCAGTCAAGCGAGAGCTGGGCGTGGAGAGTCCGCTGGCAGGCAGAGGCTGAGCCTGCGCAGGCCTTCGGGAGGCAGGAGACTGGGCCTGGCGCGGCAGACTGGAGGTCAAGTCCCGGGCCTGAGGAGGCCGCCCAGAGGCGTGAGCGGGGCTGGCCCTCAAGAGGACAGTGGCAGGCAGGAGGAGCTGGGCCTGGAGAGGCTGACCTGAGGAAGACTGGCAGCTGGAGAGGCCGCGGAGAGGCAGGAGCTGCGCCGGCGGAGGCCGACTGGGCGACGAGTTGAGCCCGCAGGGGCCGCCGGGAGCAGGAGCGAGCCCTGGAGAGGCCGAGACTCGAGGCCAGCGTGGGCCTGCAGAGGCCGCCGGGAGGAGGAGCTGGGCCTGGAGAGGCTGGCTGGGGGAAGTCTGGGGCGTGGAGACACCATCAGAGGGCAGGAGCCGGGCCCGGAGAGGCCACCGTGGGGCCCAGCTTCAGGACGTTTGGAGCCTACAAAGGCCGCGGAGCGGGAGCTGCGCCGGATCCGACTCCAAAGAGGTTGTCGTGAGGCCGGGGCTGGGCCCACAGCCACAGCCGGGAGCAGGAGGATCTCGGCCCGGACGGGAGGCCGGGAGGCCGCTATTGGGCCTGGAGAGGCTGGCATGAGGAAATTCGCGGCCTGGAAAGGCCGCCAAAAGGCAAAGACTGGGCCCGGAAACGGCGTTCCCCGTGACGAATTAGCGGGGCCTAGTGCGGCCACTGGGAGGCAGGAGCGGGGCCCGGCGCAGCTGCCCAAAGTCAGGAGGAGCTCTGGCCTGGGGAGGCCGCAGTCAGGCCAGAGCTGGGCGTGGAGAGTCCGCTGGGAGGCAGAGGCTGGGCCTGTGCAGGCATTCGGGAATCAGGAGGCTGGACATGGCCGACTCGAAGAAAGCGAGGGCCTGCAGAGGACGCCGG